GGCGATATTATTATATAACTTGGTAATATTTAAGGGGTAGTTTCATCTCGTCGGAATTTGACTTTCGAAAAATTCGTTTGCTAAAAATAAGCTTTTTACGTCAAGCAGTTTAAGCAGAATCGTGGTTAAGAAATTACCCAACTTTTTGGAACACCCTGTATGATTTTTTAAAAAATTTCAAAATATGTAAAAAAACTAATTAAATTATGCTTGCCCAAGCGTTTTCCCGAAAGACTAACCGTTTTTTAAATAACAAATATTGTAATATTTGAGGAGCGTTTTCACCCTCTTGGAATTTGAGATTCGAGAAACCCCTCCTTATCGAACCTCTACACACCACAGTCAATACGTTTGCCAAAAATCAGTTTTAAAAGTCAAGCAGTTTAAGCTGAATCGTGATTACTCAATGGTCATATTTTATGAAACACCCTGTATAAATTTATAAAAAATCTTAAAATATGTAATACAACAAAATAAAATATACGCGTTTAAGAGTTTTTCCGAAAAACTCACCGGTTTTTAAATAAAAAATATTTTAGTATTTGAGTAATAGTTTCATCCCCTTAGAATTCGAAAAATCCCCTCTTATCGAACCTCTACACCCTAAAAGATCGCGCACACTATACCTACATGGACCAGTACGGACCAGCACAGCACAAACCTGCATCCTGCATGACGTCGCACACTTTACCGCCACAGACCAGCAACATAAGCGAGAGTTTCGAAAAAAGTACAGTGGTCAAGGCTCAACTACTAGAGCGTGCAACATAGAAGTATTGAAAATGAGTAGTTCAGAGGAAGAAATTATTATTTTAGCCATGTTGTGTGAAGAAGAGGAGGAAGAGAAGGAAGCTAAGAAAAAAAGAAGATTTTGGGTTCACCCTATAAATCAAAAGAGAAAGCAATATGGCGAATTTCATTATTTGTTTCCTGAATTAAAAAGATTCGAAGAAAAGTTTTTCCAATATTTTCGAATGTCACAAATCAAATTTAATTATTTTTTTTTGCTATCGACTCCCATATTGCATCTTTTCTTTCTTGGTCTCTATATATAAAATGCTTGGCTCGTATCGCACAGCTCTGAATACTTTTGTACCAGTAAAATAAGCTTTTCTTCATTCATATTTAAAACGATTTAAAGGTTCGAACAAAAATAAACGAAATCTAACCTACATCATGCGACTTGAGCCAGCTAGCGTACTCGAAATACTGACGAACCCTTCAATATTTGCATGTTTGTGGAGGTGTACTGGTTCGCCGGTGCGCACATTAGGTCGGACCAGCACGACCAGGCATAAGTATTGCCGGTCATATTTGTCCCTGACCGACATGACCTGTTTTGACGGTCGTGGCTTGTGGCGGTACGTGCTGGTACTGGTCTAGTGTGCTCTACTCTATTAAATAACACGGTCACCTTCACCGGTAGATTTTACTGGTCTGGTCCGTGACGGTCCGTGTAGGTATAGTGTGCGCGATCTTTAAAGTCAATCTGTTTTCCAAAACTCATCTTTTTACGTCAAGCGCTTTAAGCAGGATCGTGATTAATCAATGACCAGATTTTTCGAAACACCCTGTATACATTTTCAAAAAATCTTAAAATAATTAAAAAAACAAAATAAAATATACGTGTTTAAGCGTTTTTTCGGAAACTTGACCGTTTCTTAATTAAAAAATATTGTAATATTTGAGGGGTGGTTTCACCCTCATGGAACTGAAATTTCGAAAAATCCCTTCTTATCGAACCTCTACACCCTAGAATCAACCTGTATGCCAAAATTGAGCTTCTTACGTTGAGTGGTTTGAGCAGGATCGTGATTAATCAGTATGTCAGTCACTTAAGGATTTTATATATTAGTATAGATTATTGTAAGTGCATATCTAATCTAATTGTTATTTTTGTTGAATATCTACTCGTATAGATAGCTGGCGTATAGATAATAAATAAATCAATTTTAAATTAAATAAAAATATCATCCAGTACTTCAATTATAGTATAGGGAGGAAAAAGAAAGCATGGCTACGTAACATAAGAGATTGGACCCACACCGACGGAAACACCCTTATCCATCAAGCTCTGGACAGAGAGTCATATGCCATATTAATCGCCAACCTCAACAGAGAAGGAGGAGGACTTCAATTATGCCGTAAAACTAATATTGTTTTAAAATAAAAAATATATATAAAACATTTGTATTTATATCTCAAAAAATTGCACTAGTTTATCTTAACAGAAACAGTTACTTGACAGTAGAGAACAGATAAACTAGAGAAATACGAAAAGAAGCTTTAAATTAAAATCACGACATCGTCTGTTTCGGTTTCTTTCTGTTTTGGATTGTAATGGTCCTCTCGTTGTGCAGTCAGAACGTGTAGGTCATAAAGAATATAAATATAACCCATCTTAACTGAATTAAATGGTGGGAATTATTTTCTGTTTGTCATGTTGAATTAAATGGCTGTAATAATAATAACAATAATATCCAGATCCACATAAAAGGGATCGTGAGCAAGAGCCCAAACGACGGATGTATATTTGATAAGGGTCAGTATGTGTTTAATTAAATTTTATATTAAAATATGAGAATAATTTAAATAATTATTTTTAAAACTTATTAAAATCAAAATTAATTTTGATTTTATAAACGTTGCATTGGAGGTGTACACCTAACCAACTTAAAAACGATTTATTATAGGTATAGAAATACGAAGTGTATAGTCAAAAAGTAACGAATTGAAAAACCTTTTCACTAGTGAAATAAAGAAAGTGGGTTTCTATCTGAAAAAAATAATTTATTATAATTTTTTAATCGATGTACTTAAACAGCCGTTAAACGGTAGCCTACTAAAATGCCGTTAATAGATATTGTGACGTCGTTCATGTCGGCGGAAAGTAATGCCTACCTATAAGCATTTTGCAAGAGCACCTGTGGCTCCGTGGCTGAGGCTATCGCTTCGTGAGCGCATGGTCCGTGGTTTAAATCTCACGCCGACCAAGACTTTTTTATATTTTTTTTTGCTTATAACGTGATCTTATTGCATTGGTTTCACTCTTTTTGGTTGGATTGGTTTAGATATTTGGTGGGTTGGTTAGCGTGGTTATTTGGAGGGTGTTAATTCATTGGTTAGTTGGTTATTTGGTGGAGTTGGTTGGTTTTTACTAATTTATATTTGTTTTTTATATTTTTTTATCAGTGTCGAGGTTAGTTGCGTTGGTTAAGCTGGTTATTTGGTGGGGTGGATAGCCTTAGTTAGTCCTTATAAAATTCCTATATTTCATAAAGCCCGTCAAGTGCGTCACATCAACGACGTTACACCTATTAACGGCATTTTAGTAAGCTACCGTTTAACGGCAGTTTAAGTACAGCCTTTTTTAATTGCTCAAATCTATGACAGCTACGGCCATTATTGTATTATGACATTCGAAACAATTTAAATTTTGAAATTCATAGCGGCATGTCTCCTCTTTATGTCATAACGACTGTGGTAATCAATAAATTTGACTTTTGGGGTATACACATTTTTTCGACAGGCAATTTTTTTGTCCAAAAATTTTAAATATTTTTTTTTCTCAAAAATGGTTTATGTTAGGTATACAGTGTTTACCATCAATATTCAAAAAATTTTACAGATAATTTGAATATGTAATAAAAGATACTGTCAACTTCCGGCAGAGTCAATTTCTTTTATATTTTTCACTGGATACAGATTTAAATTACAATCAATTTCTCAGTACAGAGAAGATTATAAAATTATTTTTTATTGCTAACTTTCTGTACTATTGAGTACGTTTTGCACCCGTGTTCTTTATATTTATTTAAAATTACTTTTATATTTATTTAATTTAGGAATGTAATGAGATAGCAATTATTGTAGCGGGGGGCTCTGCAATGAAAAACAAACCAGTAAATATGTCAAAGATTAAAAAAAACTTCAAAATTAAAAAAAGGAAACATTAAAAATTTATTTAAGAAAACATTTATTGAAATGATAGTGTTTAGGAAACTCTCAAAATATATTTAATTTTATCTTTTTTAATTTTAAATTCAATATTAATTTATTCTATTATTTATTGTATACGCATATGTGGTACTAGGGAGGTTATTCCAAAGGGCTGAAACACGCCTGCGTCAATTAACCTTTGGACCACAACACACTTGATCGAAAGATCCCGCAAGAACCGCATCTATCGAAAGATCGATTCAACGTGCTAACCGCCGCCGCCGCAAATAACTTTATTTTAAATCTTCAAAAGGTCCTACCAATTCGGTACCGTTTACTCGTGCGAGTAGTTGTTCCTGATCCAGATACAGGGTGGCCACCCAGGAGAAGACTACAACCCTCCAAGGTAAGCCGACCTCGTACCACGTGTTATTTTAGCAGGAATTTCTATTTTCTCGAGTTTATTACAATCATTTCTTTATTTCCTTTCTAAACATTGGTCCTTCGTAGCCGGATAACGCCGAATATAGCGAACTTTTGAAAGTAAAAAAAAAGTTATTTTTTTTTTCTCTCCTATTTTATTCTTTTTTTTTCGCATTTAGATTTTCTATCAATATCTATTTTCCTACATTCATTTCTATAAAAAAGTTTATATTAACTACAGTTATATATTTCTCTAAGATTTAAATTTTCCTTTTTTTGTTTTCTCTCTTTTCAATATTATCAGCGCAAGACCGCATCGCCAGTTCCATTCCGCGCCTGGCCATTTTAGATTCCACAGATTTGCGCGATAGCCAACGGATATTCTATCGATGGTCAGTAGTAATTTCGTCGTCTAAGGGAACTGTTCACCAAATCAATAATTTTACTGATAAGCATACGCACTTCAAGTTTTTTTTGTTTGTTGTTATTTTTATGTTTATACTACGAGGGAGATTCAAATAAATAATATTATTTTGTACTTTATTTCATAATTTAGTAATTTGGCTGAACAAATACGCTTAAGAAAACTGAAAAACAATAGAAGTAATTCTATTTCAGAGATTCAATATTTATTACAGTTAGCAGAACGTACCAAAACTGATAAAACAGTTCGCAGTTTATTTAAAGTTAGATGTGCAGAACTTAATGTTCTCAAAGATGACTTTATAAAACAGCATCAAAATATTATTTCTAGTCTTGCAAATGAAGCTGACACCGATTTAGAACCAGAAAATGTTATAAGAACAGCATTTTTTAATGATTTTTATGTCGTAAAGTCCATGTACGTAGACTTATGCGAAATTGATACTGCAAATTCGCAAAAAATATTAAATTATTCTATGAATGCTACTACTTCAGGTACTTCTAATGAACATAATTATCATATAAAACCTCCAAATTTAGATATTCCTAAATTTAATGGTGATTATAGAACTTTTTCTACATTTATCGATCTCTATAATGCTCTGATACATAATAATCCAACATTAACGCCAATAGAAAAATTTCGTTACCTTCTTTCGTTAGTCGAGGGTAAACCATTGGGTGTTGTTAGTAGCCTGCCAATGACTTCAGACAATTATCAAACCACATATGATAACTTTGTTGATCGCTACAGTAACGTAAGATTTCGAGCGCAATCGCATTGGTATGCTATTAAAACTGCCCCTAAAGCTATTCGCGACCAACCTGAATCTCTTAGAAATCTTTTGGACACATTTTCACAAAATCTCGCCTCTTTAAAAAATTTAAATTTTCCAATTGAATCTTGGGACTTCATATTAGTTAACATGTTGTTGGAACGGGTTGATGATGATTTAATAACAAGGTTTGAACTTTCGCTTGCCTCAGGCACAATACCAAAATTTAAAGAATTATTTGAATTTTTAGAAAAATGTTGTAAAACTTATGAATCTCTTAATCTTTCTTTACCTTTAATTAATAACAAAAGATCAAATAAAATTAAATCACCATTACAACCTCGTCGTACTACTTCTCTTTTGGCAAAGCAAACAAAAAATAGTAATTCCGGATCTTGTTTACTTTGTAACGAAATGCATTCGTTATATAATTGTTCAACTTTTTTAAGCAAAACTCCTCAAGAAAGGTATCAGCTTTCCAAAAGGGCACATCTATGTGTTAACTGCTTAAGTAATATTCATTCTACGCAAAATTGTAAATCAGCTATGTCTTGTCGTAAATGTAATCAACGTCATCATACTCTTTTGCATTTTTCTTCAAGTAATATAGAACGCGCCACTCATAGTCCCGAATCAGCTTTACCTTCAACTTCTCGTGAAAATAGCTTTAATAATAAACCTCACTTTTCTGGTACACCTTCTAAAACTGTATTTTCAAATCGCGATGAGAATTCTTCGTTGAATCAGAGCTTCGCTGCGACAGGCTTGTTATCTAAATCTACATCAGTTCTATTAGGAACCGCGGTTATCGAAGTATTAGATAAGTTTGGTATATATCAATCAATGCGATGCTTGCTTGATCCTGGAAGTATGACTTCATTCATAACAGAGAAGTCTGCTAATACTCTTGGTTTACCAAAGGAAAGGGGACTTTATGAAATTCAAGGTCTTGATAATATGGTTACAAACTCCGGGCAAGCTACCGTTACACTTTCATTTCGACCGCTTAATTGTCCGGAATCAGTACTTAATACTGACGCTATTGTTTTACCTAAAATTTGCGATAGCTTACCTACTGCAATTTTGCCAGCTTCTTCTTGGTCTCATCTTAGCAATTTGAAACTTGCTGATCCGAAGTTTTATGTACCTGGTCCTATTGACATTCTGCTTGGTGCTGATGTATACACAAAAATTATCCTAAACGGATGTGTTCGAGGGATTCACGGAGAACCAGATCTTTTGAACACAATTTTTGGGTATGTTCCAATGGGTAAAATAGGTACATTTTGTGAAACGTCTACTGTAACTTCATTCTTTTGTAATTCGCATAAAATTAATACTGATGATATTCTTACAAAATTTTGGGAAGTAGAGTCAGTTCCTCTTTTGCCTATGCTGTCAGATAATGATCTTTTTTGTGAAGAACATTTCTTAAAAACATACCAGAGAAATTCCGATGGAAAATTTGTAGTGCATCTACCATTCCGCGATAACTTTCCTACTTTCCCCGGTATTCGTCAACTTGCTGAACAGCGATTTCTCTCTTTAGAACGTCGTCTATTAAAAGATCAAGAATTGTATAAATCTTATTGTCAATTTATGAAAGAATATCTTGATCTGGGACATATGAAACCTGTCAGTCATGAAACTGAGTTATCTTCCGCTTCGTATTATATTCCGCATCATTGCGTTTTAAAGCCTCAAGCTAGCTCAACCAAATTGCGAGTGGTTTTCAATGGTAGTGCGAAGCTCCCGAACCAAACCTCTCTCAACGATCATTTGTTTACCGGACCCAAACTTCAAAAAGACATTGTTGAACTCTTAATTCAATTTCGCTTTCATGTGTACGTTTTATGTACAGATATTAAAATGATGTATCGCAATATATTGATCACTTCTTCTCAACATCAGTATCAGAGAATTGTTTGGAGATTTTCTCGTAATGACCCTCTTCAGGACTACGAATTAATTACTGTCGTTTATGGTTTATCGCCTTCGCCTTTCTTAGCCTTACGCGCACTTCAGCAATTAGTCCTTGATGAAGGAGCAGATTTTCCCTTAGCATCTCATGCGATTTCAAATCATACTTATGTTGATGACGTGGTTACTGGAGCCACCACTTTCAGTGAAGCTCTCGCCCTTAAAAATGAACTAATAGCTTTGTTTTCTAAAGCTGGGCTTGACCTTAGAAAATGGGCAAGTAACGATCCCAATCTACTGAGTGATCTACCTTCTGACTTTTTATCAACTACTCATATAAATTTTGATGATCCTGAATCATCATTAAAAATTTTGGGTCTTCAGTGGAATCCCACAACGGATAACTTTCATTTTCATTTTAACTCTCTTGACAGACCTTGTACTAAACGAAACATGTTGTCAGAATTAGCTCGTATTTTTGACCCGTTAGGCTTCTTAGCTCCTGTTACCTTTTTTACTAAAACTTTAATCCAAAAGTTATGGTCGTCCCATATGGATTGGGACCAACAGCCCCCTGACGAAATTATCCGTATTTGGACGCGTTACAAAAATGAAATGCACTTGTTGTCTCAAATTGACCTTCCCCGGAAGATCCTATTTTCCGAGTGTGAGAATAGATGTGAGTTGCATGGTTTTTGTGATGCGTCTGAAAAAGGTTACGCCGCAGTTGTATATCTTAGAATTTTGAGAAACAACAAAAAAATAGATGTTCATTTAGTTGCTTCAAAAACTAAAGTTGCGCCTTTAAAGAAGTTAACAATTCCCCGTCTTGAGCTCTGCGCCGCTGTTCTTCTTGCTAAATTACTCGCATATTTAGTACCCATTTTTAAAACTAAAATATCTTTAGATAAAATTATTACCTGGTCTGACTCTAATATTGTTTTATATTGGCTTCACTCTCCACCTAGTCGTTGGAAAACTTTTGTTGCTAACCGAGTAGCTTATATTCAAGACAAGCTCCCACACGCAACTTGGTTACACGTTGAGTCCAAGAACAACCCTGCTGATGTTGCTTCTCGAGGAATATTTCCATCAGAGTTTGTAAATTTTAGTACTTGGTTTCAAGGACCTTCTTTTCTTCATGATCCTGATGCTATGTTAGGTTCAACCTCCGCATGCGCTTCTCTAAATAGTACTTCCGAAGAAGAAAAACATACTTCTTTTTTCGCCGCTACTTCTGAAGAGAACTTTATTGACCTTCTTTTAGAAAAATACTCTTCTTTCGCTACTCTTCAACGTACCGTCGCTTATGTTTTACGCTTCCTTTTTAATATAAAAAATCCCCGTCAAAAAAGATCGGGTCCGCTCTTAAACTGTTGAATTAAATGAATCATTTACGTGTCTTGTAAAAAGGACTCAATCGATTTGTTTCCAATCGGAATTGATTTCTAAATCTTTTTTCTAAACCATTACGTAAACTTAATCCTTTTATTGACGAACAAGGAATTGTTCGTGTAGGTGGTAGATTAAAACATTCAACTCTATCTTATTCTGCAAAATATCCAATTTTACTACCTCGCTCTAGTTTACTAACACGCCATTTAATATATTACTACCATCTTAAATACCTTCATGCAGGATTGCGCACTTTGCTTTTTACTATCTCAATCGGTTTGGATTCTTTCTCCTAAACGAGCTATAAATTCAGTAATTCATTCATGTTTAATTTGTTGGCGATCCAATCCGAAGCCTTTCCAACCGCAAATGGGAAATTTACCGCCGTCTCGCGTTTCACAATTAAAAGCTTTCACACACACGGGGGTAGACTTTGCAGGGCCGTTCTTAATTACTATGAACAGATATAGAGGTGCTAAAACAACTAAAGCATATATATGTTTATTTATATGTTTTGCGACTAAAGCTATGCACTTAGAATTAGTTAGTAGCTTGTCCACGGAAGCTTTTTGGGCGCCCTTCAGAGATTCCTATCCGAAGAGGTCGCGGCACAGACATATATAGTGATTGTGGAACCAATTTTGTTGGTGCTAGCAAAGAAATTAAAACTATGTTCGAATCCGCAGTTGAACATGAAAATATTCAATGGCATTTTAATCCGCCCGCTGCCCCACATTTTGGGGGACTTTGGGAAGCTGGTGTCCGTTCAGTAAAAACGCATTTAGGTCGAGTAATCGGACAACAAGTCCTGACTTTTGAGGAATTATATACGACCCTGACCTTGATTGAAGCTGTATTAAATTCACGTCCGCTCAATCCCATCAGTTCGGACGTCGAAGACATTAATGCGCTAACCCCTGGTCATTTTTAACTTTAGAGCCATTGAACAGTTTACCTACGCCGAACTTTACTGCTGTACCAATTAACCGTCTCTCTCGTTGGCAACTTTTACAACGATTACATCGCGATTTTTGGAACAGGTGGCATAAGGAGTATTTGCATTCGCTTCAACAACGCCAGAAATGGCTTAATTCCTCTGACGCTCCTTCTCTAGGAACGTTAGTTATTATAAAAAATGAAAATGCTCCTCCATGCCAATGGACCTTGGGTCGCATAATTTCGTTAAGTGAGGGACGGATGGTGTGGTGCGGGTGGCTCTGGTGAGGACAGCTAAGGGGAACTTTGCAGCGTCCTTTAGTTAAATTATGTCCTTTACCCAGCAATTAATTATCGCCATTTATTTATTTTTTTTTGCTATTACACAAAATTATTTTTATGTATTTTTTTTTCTCTTTTTATTTTTTCTTTATCTTTATCTCAATTTTTATTTTTTTGCATTCAAAAGTTACGCATTTAAAACGCATGTTTAGAACATGCCTTTTCGCCGGGCAGAATGTTTAGGAAACTCTCAAAATATATTTAATTTTATCTTTTTTAATTTTAAATTCAATATTAATTTATTCTATTATTTATTGTATACGCATATGTGGTACTAGGGAGGTTATTCCAAAGGGCTGAAACACGCCTGCGTCAATTAACCTTTGGACCACAACACACTTGATCGAAAGATCCCGCAAGAACCGCATCTATCGAAAGATCGATTCAACGTGCTAACCGCCGCCGCCGCAAATAACTTTATTTTAAATCTTCAAAAGGTCCTACCAATTCGGTACCGTTTACTCGTGCGAGTAGTTGTTCCTGATCCAGATACAGGGTGGCCACCCAGGAGAAGACTACAACCCTCCAAGGTAAGCCGACCTCGTACCACGTGTTATTTTAGCAGGAATTTCTATTTTCTCGAGTTTATTACAATCATTTCTTTATTTCCTTTCTAAACAGATAGAAAAGAACTGTAACTGTCAAAATTCGACTTTTGGGCAGACTCACAGAACAGGCGTATTTAGGGATTAATAAAAATGTACTATTTGATTTACTGTCTCAAAAAATCGTTTATTTCAATAAATATGATATATTATACAAGAAGTAAAACATATAACTAAATTCACTGTACCTATAATAATTATTTACAATAACGTTATTAACATAGCCAGAAAAAATAAGAAAATGCAATATTTAAAATTTAACACTTTATAGAATCTTAAGATATTGATAGAATTATACATATATCAGAAAAAAATTGCAACAACTTGACACACAACTTTTCAACAACACAACTTGAAAGGATACTACTTATACTATACTATAGTTAGATACCCTCTATTAAAATTTACCCGTTCTATAAAGTGTAACGAGTAGGAGGACGCCTTCTTTCACTTCGCTCTAAGTAAACTGGCTTTAAGTTAGTTTTAGTATCTAACTCAGTTTTTATGGCTTTGTTATCATCTAAGTCAGTTACGCGACACACTTGAACCGTCCGACTCCTCAGTTCTTTGACATCGAGCACGCGTTTGGACTTGAGGCACTCCCGCTGATTGTTGTTGCGTATCAATTTAGTAGAAGCGTCAGTCTTTTTCCTCGGCCAAAGTAATCTGGGCTTGGAAGGAACGTGATTTTCCTTGTTCAAATCGTTTTCAACTTTACTCATTTTAAAAGGAGGCTCGAAGTCTAATATATCTGGTGCCGGTCTCTTATTAGTAGAATTCCTTTTTAAATTAAGGAGAGTTTTAGCACCTTCAATAATTTCTCTTGCTTCGTCGTCATCCAAGTCGATTTTGCCGCACACTCTCCGACACTTATCTTCATCGCTTTTGAAGGTCTCATCTTCATTATCACCAACAACGGCTACATTAAATGTGTAATCTTGACTAGAAGAAGTGGTGCAAATCTGATATTCCTGCTTGTCGTTTACTCTGGTCGAATATTTTAAGCTCAACATGGTCCGTGCCGCATCAAGAGTCTCCAAAAAATTGTTTTGCTGCTCGATTTTCTCTCTATAGACGTTGTAATCCATATCCGACGTAGCTGGTAACTTCTGGCTTGGAATAGGAGACATTTCGGTATGGGGTAATTTTGGGTTCCTGTAAACCACCGGGGTTTTGTCACTGCTCTGATTTGGCTGCCGTCGAACAAAGGTACTGTTAAGTGTCGATTGTCGAACAAGGGTGAAAAGGCGAACTATTAAACCGGCACAAATTATTTCACTCAAGTACTGCTACTATCCGCTCACAGGACGAAGCTGAAATGATCATTTAGTGAAGCTAGGTGAAGCCAGGTAAACTCCTTCCCACCCCTATTGCCATATCGTTTTATGACATCTACATTAATTCTTCGCTAATATAACATTGTACTCATCTTATAATATCTGCTCACAACGGCCTACTGACTCTGAAAATGATACAATAATATTATTCATAAGCAAATATTAAATGTTGACAAAAACAATATGAATGGTTTACTAATTGCCTTTAATTAAAAAAAAATTATGTTATAAACTAATTTAGCCGTACATTCCTTATTGCTGGTTTTTGGAGTTAAAGTTTTATCTCATAAATTAATTTAGTCCTTAAAGTTCATTCTTCAATATTATTTTTTTTCTTTTGATTTTACAGTTTTTATCTGTTTTTTAATTTTCCTACCTACTTTTGTTTCATATTAATAAATATTTTTGTACTATTTTGAATATTACAAGATTCAAAATGTTTGTCCATTACAAATCATTCTACTCAAAATAATATATCGGGTGTTTCTCAAGAGTGGCTTGACCCCTATAACATTTTTATTTTATTTTTTCAGATTAAAAAACGAGATTTGGTATGTTAGTATAAGATATAACTCAGGATTGATTGACGTATTCAGTTGTCTACGGTCGCTTTCTGTTTCACCGGAAATGACTACAACTTTTGATTTTTAAATGTTACCTTCGGTATTTTTTTTACTTTATTTAGCTTAAAGAAAAGTCGTATTTTAAATTTCAATGTCGAGTGCAATGACTATGTTAAAACACTAAATTTTAATCAAGCAGTTTTGGAAAAATATTTTTTTTTATATAATATGGTAACATATACTCGATATTTCGAATCAAATTGTCGGTATGACCCCATGTTACAATTTCAAATAAACCATTTGCGAAAATATCAAAAGTTGACATATGATATGTCATTCTATTCAGAGTGTCCTTTACTCTCGAATAAAGAAAAAAACTACCCAGGGTGTCATGTAAAAATCAAAAGTTGTAGTCATTTCCGGTGAAACAGGAAGTGACCAAAAACAATTGAATCAATCAGTCCTAATTTATGTCATATACTAACATACCAAATCTCGTTTTGTTATCTGAAAAAATAAAAAAGTTATAGGAGTGAAACACTTTTGAGACGCACCCGGTATAGATGGCTCTCTTAATTCGTTTATTTGAATTTCGTTTTTTTAACTGTTAGACTGTTAGCGACTACGGAATTTAATTTACCGCCCTTTTATTTATACAGTGAATGTGAAAACAGCTTTTGGTTAGACAAACAAGAATAAATTGAGCAAATTAATATTTGAGGTCTAGATGACCAGGTGCTAGATAAGCATAGTCCTAAGAAACATTGGAAGTTCGGTTGCTTATTGAGTTTAAATATTTTATAATATTTCGTTAAGCCATATTATAGCCACAAACATCAACGTGGTACAATAAAAGAAATATTTACAACACTTTATTTATTTAATTTACCAGACTTCCGAAACTTTCTGTTACATCTTTTATTACTTCATTATTTTAAGTGCATATCTAATCTAATTGTAATTTTTGTGGAATACTTTTGGCGTAAGATAATAAATAAATAAATTAAAAAATTCACAGTCCTTTACAAAGATGCAACCGGGAGGGGGGCATTGAAAATGATGAATAAAAACGTAAAAATATGATTAGTGTTAATATGAGTGTATTACATACATATGTTTAAATAACGAACTTAACAAAAAACAACAGATTTAAAGATTCACTGAAAAAGTAGTAATGTTAACATTAAATAAAACATTATCAATAATAATTATGCGACCGCACCTATCCGTAAAACAAACAAGCAAAAAAACAAAATAACATACAAAACATCAGGTTAACGTGATGACAGATCATGATCGATGACAGATAAAGAATTCTTACGGAAAGTTACACTTTACGATATAATTTTTTAACTGTTAAAGGCAAACCCCATTTAAACACAAAACTTTTTAATACCTACTACTGTACCTAAAAGACATTTTTTTTTAAATTACTAAATTCTTAGCTACGCTTCTGTTTTTCTTGGCTGTTGTGCGTCACGTCACAGATTAACAGGCCCATGTTTGCACCACAAGGCGATGCTGCAGACCACTAGGTAGACCGGTCGTAGAAATTTATGTTATACAACTTGTAGTCAATCTACACAAATATTATCAAAAGCTTTTTTCTTTTAAAATGTGTTCAGATTTTGTAAAAAGTATAAGTCAAAATCGCAAAATCGAGTTTCTTAGTTTTTAACTAATATAGTGGCGAATTACAAAAATTCCTTTTCAATGAAAATTAATCGGGTAAATAAAATAATTTAATAAATTACCTACTAGCTTTTTCCCGCGACTACGTTCGCGTTACACCTCGAATCGTTCATGCATTGATTAAATGATTTTTTACTTCTTTATAGAGAGCTAGTGAGCATAGATGTTTTTTTAATTTTCATCTTTTTTTTATTTATTAAGAGCACTAATACTTTCTTTATAGGTTATTTTTTATTCTTTGAAGGATAATTGGGGAAGATATATTTCGTTATGATGTCACTAAATCAACCCTTGTATAAAATTTTATACTGTCTGGTTTATAATGTTATAGTATTGCATTTTCGTACAGCAAACTTTCATTCCCTATTCTACTCCCTAAGTGTATAAATTTCATAAATTCGCTTTATCTTTGTGGCAATTTTTATGTGTATAATCCAGAGGTCACCAAGTTTTATATAAATTTTTACTAACTTTACCCATTTGGTTGATGAATTTCAAAAATTTCTTCTAATCCTTTTTGTAGGATTTCATTCTTCTAGACCAAATAGTAAGGAATTTTCATACAACAAACTGTTCGGACATAATTTTACTCTCTAAGAGGATGAATTTCCTAAAATCTCTTTGTGTAGCTAATTCGCTAATGTCGTTTAAACGAACCTTTGTGCTAATATTTATGTATCTAAAGCTGGCGGTATGAACTCACTCCTAAAATATCTAATAACTTAATATATAATCTAACTGACACACCACTGACAATGACAAATAATTTATTTCTGGAGGTATTGTGTGTAGGTGTTTTTCAGGTATTGTTGCGGTTTAGGTCACCTTAAAATGATAGCTCGAAGGACCATAGATAATTCTTTATTTTACTTGTAAATTTAACAACAAATTTTTACTTTTAACTGAAAAAATGTCTTTCTTGCTGAGGTTCGCAGCCATCTTCTCTTTCAAGCGTCGCAAGCGAAATCGACCCTTGTCGACCGACTACGGTAGCGCCCTCTCTTCGAAACCTCTTGAATCCCGAGGCGATTCATATTACAGAAATCATAAAATCCGAACATACCGGCCACCTTAAAAGTTTCGAACTTTTAATCGACTGGCATTAAACAAACTTTAGCAATAGACCGCTTAACTATGCGACCGTTCGGCACTTTCACAGAAACGACGCGCACAAGTCCATCGGATCCTGGATGAATGTCGACTATTCGGCCTCTCGTCCATTGTAAAGGTGGTGATGACTCTTCCTTCAGGATGACCAAACGCCCAATATTTAGATTATTTTGTTGACTGGTCTTCCATTTGGATCTGGTTTGTAATGTAGACAAATACTCTCGTGACCATCTTTGCCAAAAGTGTTGATGAATTTGTTTCAACCTTTGGTAATGATTCAAACGTGAAACATTTGCTTCAATGATGTTGGTTTCAGGTATGGCCAATAAAGAGTCTCCAATAAGAAAGTGACTTGGGGTAAGCAAGGAGAAATCTAGGGGATCATTGGATATTTGGGTAAGGGGTCTAGAATTCAGACATGCTTCAACTTCAACCAATAATGTGTACATATCTTCAAAAGTTAAATATGCTTGAGATAATATGCGTTTTATATGATACTTGGCTGATTTGATCGCGGCCTCCCAAATACCTCCCATATGCGGCGAATTTGACGGAATGAAATGCCATGAAATTTTATCCTGTCCCAAGAAATTCAAAATTTCTTCATTAACTGACTTATCAGAAAGGAAACTATATAATTGTTGCAACTCTCTAGCTGCACCTCGAAAATTTGTTCCATTGTCTGAATAGATGTCAGAAGGTTTACCTCTTCGTGATATAAACCGTTTTAAAGAATTTATAAAAGCATCAGTTGAGAGATCACGCACTAGTTCAATATGAACTGCCTTTGTTGATAGGCAAATAAATAAACATATATAAGCTTTTACATTTTTTGCTTTTCTAGAAGTACTATTTTTAATATATAAAGGACCTGCGTAATCTACACCGCACTTATAAAATGGTCTTAATGTTGAAAAACGATCGGAAGGTAAATCTCCCATTATTTGAGTTACAGACTTTGGTTTAGCTCTAAAGCATTTAATACATTTCCGCAAGATGCGCTTGACGGCAACTTTCCCTGATAATGGCCAATATTCTAAACGAATTGTAGCTAGAAGTGCTTGAGTACCCATATGTAAATATCGTAAATGAGTGTGTAATATTAACAGTTCTGTGAAGGTGTGCTTTGTAGGTAATATTGTCGGATGCTTCTGATTATAACTTAAATGCGAATGTTTTAATCTTCCGCCGACTCTAATAATACCATCTTCATCTAAAAATGGATTCAAATTCAACAGCTTGCTAGAATTGGACAGTTTAATTTTAGAAGTAAGATTTTTTATATCGTCAGCAAACTCTTGAAATTGTACAATCTTAATTAGAATAGTCATAGCTTTGTTTAACTCATTTACTCTAAGAGGACCTGAAATTTTATTATCTTTACATAAAGCGTTGTTTTTAAAACGTAAAACATATGCAATTACGCGTTTAAGCTTTGTTAGGGAAGAAAATTTAGTAAAGATATTAGATATCTCAGCAGTATTTGAAACTAAAGCTACAGTTCTTTTCATTTCTGGTACATTACTATCTCTGTAGTCAGGAGTTCTGCTTGAGAACGGCTTGGCATTATCATTTAAAAAATTAGGACCGCACCACCATAATTTTTTATCTTTTAAAATGTTTGGATTTGTGCCTCGCGAAATAATATCAGCAGGATTTAATTCTGACTTTACATGATACCATTTATCTTTTGACGTTAATTCGGTAATTTCCGCAATTCGATTGGCGACGAATGTTTTTAAATAACATGGTTCTGTCGATATCCATGATAATACAATGCTGGAATCAGTAAAAAGAAATGTTTTTTCTATGTTTACCGTTAAAGATCTAAGAACTCGTTTTGTTAACTTAGCCAGAAGTAAAGCTCCACACAATTCCAATTTAGGTAAAGTTATTCGTTTGAGTGGTGCTACTTTTGATTTTGCACACAATAATCTCACTGTACATTCTCCGAAATTAGTTAATGATCGTAGGTAGATACAACAGCCATATGCACTCTCGGAGGCGTCACAAAAACCGTGAAGTTCAACATAATTTGAAGAATTACATAATACATGTCTAGGCACTGAAATATCATTTAATGAATTTAATTGTTTACTAAAATCTTGCCAGATTTCAGCTATGTCTGATGGAATTGGATCGTCCCAATTTATCTCACATTGCCACAAATTTTGCATAATAATCTTAGCTTTTATAGTAGCTGGGCCAATCAATCCCAGAGGATCATATATTTGTGATATTAATGATAAAATTTGCCTTTTAGTAATATTTGTTTTATTATAGTTCACGTTTACTGAGTATCGTAGTATATCTGTTTTTGAATCCCAAATTAAACCTAGTAACTTAAAATCTGTTTTATCTGAAAATAAATGAGTAGAATTAGAATTTATATCTTCAACAAAGGCTCGTGAATTTGATGACCATTTTCGTAATTCAAATCCACCGGACTTTAAAATCTCATATATCTCGTTTTTTAATTTAAGTGCATCCTTTACCGTATTAGTACCGGTTAGTAAGTCATCTACGTAAAAATCTTTAAGTATCTTATTGCAAGCTTCAGGATATCTATGTTGATTTTGATATGCTAATTCATGGAGACATCGAATGGCTAAAAATGATGCTGGAGCTGTACCGTAAGTTAAAGTATTTAACGTATAAGATTGAACAGGTTCATTATCATTTTCACGCCAAAGAATTCTTTGTAGATTCCTATGCTCAGGATGTACTAAAACCATGCGATACATTTTCGCGATGTCACCAGTAAATACTATAGGATACGTTCTAAACCGAATTACTATATCAAATAAATCATCCTGTATAGTTGGGCCTACATGCAAACAATTATTCAATGATATTCCTGTATTTGTAATCGCACTACCATCGAAAACTACTCTTAATTTTGTGGTACTGCTGTCTTCCTTTCTAACAGCATGATGAGGTAAATAAAAACAATGATCAATATTATCTGAATCTGTGTTTACTAGTGTCATATGCTCCATATCTAAATATTCTTTTAAAAATTCATTATAAAGTGTTTTATATGTTTGATCCTTTTCAAATTTCAATTCGATTTGATTTAATCTTTTTAAAGCGATGGCCTTAGAATCCCCAAGTTTATTAACTGAATCATTATGTGGTAGCTTGACAATAAATCTACCATCTTCGTTACGTGTGGTAGTTTCTTTAAAGTATGATTCACAATATTGTTCTTCAAGGGAAAAATGTTTTTTAAATGGTACTTCTTCTATTTCCCAGAATCGTGTCAATTGTTTATTTAAAGATAAATTACATATTTGTTTATTTACTTGTTTATTGTGAATGATACCTGACAATATCCAACCTAACTTAGTTTTTCTTAATGTAGGCTGTTTTGTACCTAAACTTATTGATTCGCCCATTATTAAGTCATAAAATATTGAAGCGCCTATAAGAATATCTATATTATTTGGAATATTAAATTTTGGATCAGCCAGTTGTATATTATCTGGAATTTTAATATGACTTATATCAAATTTTATTTGAGGTATCTCTTCAGTAATCTGAGAAATTATGAAAAAACTTAAATTAGTTGTAAATGAACCGTACATTGACTTTATTGTAGAATTTACTGCTTTTGAAATATTAGTATTATTTTTACCAATACAAGATATTGAAATGTTAGTATGATTTTGATCTAACTGTAATTTTTCTGCTAATGACTTTGTAATAAAATTACTTTGGCTACCTGAGTCTAAAAGAGCACGACAGGTATGCAAATTTCCAAATTTATCTTTTATATATATAACAGCTGTCGATAACATGACATAATTTGATAAAGAATGAGCAGCAGTAGAAGATAAATTTAATGAAGATTGATTCTCACTATTATCTTTTTCATTTTCAGAAACTTCAGTTGGTATTTTATTATTACATGCGCAATGAGAACAGGAAGTTACATTTGTTTTGTTACTCGAATAGTCATGTAATAACGTATGATGTTTTAGGTTACATTTAAAACATGTTCTAAGAGATTGACACTGATCTGTAGCGTGATTTGGTTTTAAACAGTTTGCACATAATTTTAATTTTTTAATTTCTTTATGTTTATTCTCTAAATTAAGTTTAAAAAATGATTGACATCTATAAATAGGATGAGGTTGATTACAATAATAGCATGAAAAACTGGAGTTTTGAGTTGTGGCAAAAGAATGACTCTTATTATCATGGCCTTTTCTGTATGAAATAGATATATCTGATTTTGTTTTGTTTACATTTATTGTTTCTAATATCATACATCTTTGCTTTAGAAAATCCGTTAAGTTGACCATAGTAGGCAAATTGTTACTCTTTAATGAACATTCCCACTCTTTTCTTGTGTTATAATCGAGTTTAGATGTTAATAAATAAATTAAGAGTGTATCCCATTGATCTGTGGGTTGTCCTAGTGAATGTAAGGCTCTAATATTTTTCAAAAACGTGTCTAATAAATTTCTTAAATCTTTACAAGATTCTTTCTGAACTGGAGATATTTCAAATAAAGTTTTAATGTAATTATGAATTATTAATCTTTGATTTTCATAACGTTCTTGTAACAATTTCCAAGCTATTGAATAATTGCTACTAGTTACCTCTAAAGAACTTATAATCTGAGCTGCGTCTTCTCGAAGACAAGATTTCAGATAATGAAATTTTTGAATCGCATCTAATGATACATTATTATCTATTAAGGAATTAAAAGTATCCTTAAAATTAATCCAATTCTCATAACCTCCGCTAAAAATAGGAAAATTTATAGGATGTAGCTTTATGTTACTTACTGGATTTTGAGGTGTATGTAATATTTGTGAATTAATATTAGCATCAACGCATGCATTTTTACCTGTAGAAATAGCTTTGTAAAATACATTTTCTATTTCTTCTCTAACTTCTGTTTCTTCTTCATCTAATAGCTCTAATTCGGACTGAACTTGATCGAACTCTACAAACGCGGACTCTACTTTTTCCAACCTAGTTTTTACTTCTAGAACATCCTGCATGTTAGACATAAAACTTTGAAACCGAGTGGCTATGCCTCTCAACTGACCTCGCCTAGTTCTTAACCTTCTGAGATCTATTGCTTCAGCCATTTCAAATCTTACCTATTGCAATATAAATTATAATATTTAACACAATTCTATAGCTTCTTCTGTTGCAGTATATTCTTTTTACTAAATTTATAGCAATGTTATCTTATTATCAATTTGTTTTTTCAATTACACTCACAATAAATCGTTAAGTTACTAAATATTATTTCTGTGGTACCTTAAACTTAAAAAATACCCTTAAATTAAATTATACAATATGATTCTTTTGTTAAATATGTAATGAAGCCGTTGATAAAATATCTCGTAGTAGTGAGACCCTTAAGAGAATATCCCGTAGTAGTGGGACTCTTAATAAAATCTCCCGTATTAAAACTCTTAAGAAAATAACCTTGATCAATTATTTATGACAAATCTACGTATACCGATCTGTATAACTATATAACTTTATCGTCTTTAGTCTTTATTAACTTGAAAAACTACTGAATTTACTATGAATATATTATAAACATTATTAGTCGAGCACAGCATGCATGAATAGGAAAATAAGGAAATAGATAGGGACAGACTCACTTCTTGCGTTTTGTTGCTAGCCGGCCACCATGGATGTTCTTCCAGTTCATGACAAAAGGCTCGTTTCTAGCCCGGCAATATCGTTTTTAAAATGATCAAAATGGCACTTATCCGGCTCGTTAGGACCAAAATGTTGCGGTTTAGGTCACCTTAAAATGATAGCTCGAAGGACCATAGATAATTCTTTATTTTACTTGTAAATTTAACAACAAATTTTTACTTTTAACTGAAAAAATGTCTTTCTTGCTGAGGTTCGCAGCCATCTTCTCTTTCAAGCGTCGCAAGCGAAATCGACCCTTGTCGACCGACTGCGGTAGCGCCCTCTCTTCGAAACCTCTTGAATCCCGAGGCGATTCATATTACAGAAATCATAAAATCCGAACAGGTATGTTTTAGTATTTAGTCGTTTTACACAAAGAAATAGCCATTAAGCACTATAAAAATACTTCATAACAAATCTACACATATATACCTTTCATTTAAAAAAAGAATCATCAAGATTGGTGAAGCGGTTTCGGCGGGATGGATGCAACAAAAAAACTCTTTGAGCTTTTATATATTATGTATGGATTAATTATTTTTCCAACATATTTTACTTTGCAGATTTTTATAAATATTCAGACTCGCCAATATCGTAGTCTACCGTGTCCAGCCTGTAGGCCGATTCCTCTTCGGCGGCGCGTGGCGTCGTGACTCTGGCCGATGGAAGAGTCTTGAAGACGCTCATCCGCGCATAGGAACAAGTTGACTGCGTAGCATATTGCGTATTAATCGATTCTGAAACTTTCTATCTCATGTAGAACATGTTACACAAGTTTATTATTTTAATCTCGATTTTAATAGATAAATATGTGAAATGCCACCTGAATATCTTCCGCCATGACATGTTTTTACTTTTTTGTTATGGTAAAGTGATTTGTATAAACTTTATTCAATAAAGTTTATACTTTATATTTGAGATTAAAACTCGAATAAAATTATAAATATTAGTTACCTATGTTGTTATAGCTTTTATAGGCCTGCTTAACGACTTAATAAGTTACCTAGCGAAAAAATCTGTGCGCGTACCTACCACTATTTTTACAGGTTAATTTTTTAAAGAAATATGTTACACAAATTAAAAACGCTAAAATTTTAATGGTATTACTTGTGCATTATTGGCCTTATAATGCAATTAGTTGGAATTATATCTTCTTTAAATATAATTAGACTTTTAACGACTTTTAAGTTACCTAGGAAAAAATCTGTGCACGTACCTACCACTATTGTTACAGGTTAATTCGTTAAACAAATGTGTTACATATTATTCGTGGTATTAGTGGTATTATATTGGAATCAGCTTGGCATTAGTGGGGCATTATATGAGAAATTTTGGTATTTAATTTCTATTTTTGGCATTACTTTGGCATTAGTATACAGACATTTGTCAGCAGTTTACTCCTTGTAGATAATCAAAAAGTTTTTAGATAAAATTTGCTTTTTATGTCAGATCATTTCTATGAAAAATTACATTAGATTTTTATTAAAGACGCTGGGTAATTAAAACATTGACTAATAAAGCTTGTCCACTTTAAATAAGGGGTCATTCCTTCTTGGAGTGTTTGGGTTAAGGGGTGTATAATAAATTAATCCTTGTTTTATAATAAAAACCATAAAACATTTATTTGTGAGTAAAATAATGCAATGGTTGGATATCTCTCCTTTATAATTAGGTGACTAAAAATACACTAAAATAATTAGAAAACAAATCTTGTAATTATTTAGTAATTACGTCAATATTAATTAATTGACTTTCTAGTCTATTTTATTTTATGTACAAATATATTATTAAATTTTAATCTAAGCATCAAGTAATAAAACACTTTGTGCCCTCTTATATCGTAAGAGGTTACGAAATATACTCCTTACAGAAAACAGTGTAAGGGGTGTAAATAAATTGTATAATAATCACTGTTTTTTATAATAAAAACTATAAAAAATTTCTTATTTATGAAATTAAAAAAACAAAACAATGCATTGGTTAAAATAAGTATATTCAATACATGTATTGTGTTAGACCTTTATATGCCCAGTATATTTTTGTTTAACAAACCAATCAGGAAAAAATCCAAAACCTACCGTTATAGGAGGTATAAGATGATTAAACTTATATAATGACAACTACTTATCGGATAACAAATTAATTACTACTGTCAGCTACTGTCTCGGTAGAATATACCTAGAGTACCTACACCTACCTATGATGTAGGTAGATTAAAGCTTATTTTGACTTTACGTCTCACTTCGGTATCACAAGCTGAATTTTTCAGGAATGGAAGTACAGTACATGATATGGGGACCCTTATTCCGAAAGTAGTACAAAATTAGACCGGGTAAAAGGGCACTATCGTCAAAAGTCGATATATTAATACCACCGTATAGAGAAAACAAATAACTTATTTTTTGATCCAGTACACAATAAAGTCTTCGTAGGGAGTAATTTTTTATAATTATTTACAAAAAAACATTTCCATCAGCGCTTATGACCAAAAAAAAACTTTAAATATGATAACTCATTTCAATCATGCGAAAATTTGGTTTAAAAATAGACTTTTTTTAATATAACTTACATTTAACGAAATACGAAGGCCTAAATGAAAAAAAGAAACAATTTAAAAGTTTCGCTTATGTCTTGACAAGGTATCAAAGCAAACCCCATATTTTTTGCTTTTAAACTAATAAAGATATATCAATAAACAATTAGCGATGTAATGGTTTTTGCGCGCGCTGGCCGACTGCCGCCGCTGCGCCGAGATTTCCTATACCCTTGTATATATGACGTCATGGTGTGGCAAATGTAGCATTTTAATTCGATTTGGGCTCCCTTATATAGGATAACAGAAACATTTTCAGTGTTAAAAGCATGAAACATTACTATTCATATCTCGAACAATTGAACTAATTTATCTTAACAGAAACTTGACAGTACAGAAAAGAGAAACTAGAGAAATACGTAAAGAAACTTTAAACCAAAATCACGACATCGTCTGTTTGGGTTTCTTTCTGCTTTTGATTGTAATGGTCCACTCGTTGTGGAGTCAGAACGTGTAGGCTATAAAGAATATAAATATAACCCATCTTATATAACTGAATTAAAGGGTGGAGATTATTTTCTGTTTGTCATTTTGAATTAAATGGCTGTAATAACAATAACAATAATATCCAGTTCCACATAAAAGGGATCGTGAGCAAGAGCCCAAATGACGGATGTATATCTGATAAGGGTCTGTGTTTAATTAAATTTTATATCAAAAAATAATTATAATTTAAATAATATATAAATATATTTTAGATTCTTTAAACTGTGCTATTATACAGGTTGTCCGAAAAATGCTCGGCTAAATTTCAGAGTGTGATTCTACCAGCGGGGCCTGTTAAAATTTTGATGTACAATATATCTGGTTCTAGACACCAAATTGGGTTCACGTTCAAGGTACACCAAATTTTAGTAAGCAAATTTTATTGCTATCATTTTTTTATTATTAAAAACTTTTTTTTACGATTTTTTTAAAGTGCGCCTGCGCCCCCCAATGCAACGTTTATAAAATCAAAAATTAATTTTGTTTTTAATTTTTATATAGGGTGTCCCAATATTCCGTGGACGTAAAACTACTAAGTATTTTTGTAATCAAAATAAGTTGATTGGACGCAATTTACCTCTATACAAAAGTGCTTTCTTTGTCCACTAGAAGACAGAAGATCAAAGTTGCTTTAAAATTTGACTTTTACAAAAACCAAGAAAATGTACGGGAAGGGTAAAAACTACCCCACCCCTACATAATTTTTTTATAAATATTTTTCAACTCCACTGACTACAGATTTTCTTTTCGTTTTTACGAAAAAAAATCGGTCGTCGGTTGAGTTGGAAAATACTTATTCTAAAACTTATGTAGGGGTGGGGTGGTTTTTACATTTTCCGTAATTTTTCTTGATTTTTGTAAAATTCAAATTTTAAAGCACTTAGCAAAATATACACCCAAAATATCATTCAAATCGGAATAACGGTTCTTAAAATATGTGAAAAAATGTGATTATTTTTTTAAAATTTGATGCCCTCTAACGGACAAACTAATCAATTTTGTATAGAGGTAAATTGTGTCCAAAAAACTTATTTTGATTCCTAGGAGAGCAACGGCCTAGCTACGTTGAAATACCGGTTCCCATTAGAACACCGAAGTTAAGCGACGTAAGGCGATACTGGTGGATGGACGGGTGACCGGTTCGAAACTCTGTATCATGCTGTTGTCCGAGGGAAAAGTGTAAAATCTGTTGATACACACTGCTCATTCACGCCGGTTCGAGGCCGGATGAGATCGGATATCTCGTGAGTAAGAGTTAATTTAGACGCTTCCTAAGTCGGTAGGCCACTGACCATGTATGGGCGAGGACCGCGGTTCGGATTCCGCGTAAACAAAGTAGGCCCCGTCCAGATTAGCCCTGGCAGCGAAAAGGAGACGTTAACTGAAATCTTTTTTTTTACTTTGATTCCAAAAATACGTAGTAGTATGTTCACACAATATTGGGACACCCTGTATAACTTCTGTCATATTTTATGGAAAAATTTACATATTGTCAAGAGAATCAAACTGAATAATACAATTAATAATAAACAATAAAATTACAGCATTTTAGCTCTTATTTAGCGTTTTAGTTTACTAATTTTTCCGGGCGTTGTTTGATTTATAGATACCGAACCCGACTTTGTTTTAATTTATTTAGATATATACAGAGTGTCCCAGGCTGAGCGTGCAGTAGATGTTTCTAGAAAACTCCTCTCCTAGGTGCCTTCACTGTTGAGGTTGGCAATTAATATGGCGTATGACTCTCTGTCCAGAGCTTGGTGAATAAGAGTGTTTCCGTCGGTGTGGGTCCAATCTCTTATGTTACGTAGCCATGATTTATTTTTCCTCCCTATGCTACGCTTTCATTCGATTTTTCCTTCTATTATGAGCTGTATTTCTTCATATTCTGAGTGCCGCATTATATGTCCAAGGTAGGAAGTCTTTTTGATTTTAATTGTGCCTGTTAGGTGTGGACGAGTTTTCATTCTGTCTAAAACTTCACAATTTGTTGTTCTGGAGGTCCAACTTATCCACAGCATCCGACGATACATCCACATTTCAGAAGCATTAAGGCGTTTGATGTCTTCTTGTTTTAGCGTCCATGTTTCGCATCCATATTGAAGTAGGGGCCATATATAACATTTTAATATTCTTAGCCTTGTTGGTATACCTATTCTGGGATGGCACAAAAACTTCCGCATGTTGAGGAAACCAGCCCTAGCTATTTCTATTCTTCTTCTGATTTCTTTAGAGTGGTCTAGCTGGCTGTTTAATTCCCTGCCCAAGTAAATATAACTCCGCGTGGTTTCTAGATGGACGCCGTTTACCATTATGTCGGTATTTTCATTGTCTTGCGGATGTCTGTCGAAAATCATAGTTTTTGTCGTGGCGGTGTTAATCTCTAGACTCATCCTGATACTTTCTTCTGTCAGTTTGTCCATTAGGGTTTGCAGCTGGTCTTCGGATTCTGCTAATACCACGGTGTCGTCTGCATATCTTATATTGTTTATAATTTTTCCATTTATTTTAGCCCCTTCTGGACAATTTTGAAGAGATTTTCGGATTATATATTCGGCATAAACGTTAAACAATAATGGTGACAATATGCATCCCTGTCTAACACCTCTTTGTATGTCCACGTATCTTGTATTTCCTTTTTCTGTTCTGACACAACCTTTGTGATTCCAGTATGTGTTCCTTATAATGATAATATCTCTCTAATCCAAGCCTACTTCAGTGAGAACTTCTAGTAATTTTTCGTGCTAGAAAAGTTTTTAGTCTAGAAAACTACAAAGTCTAAATCGGAGATTTTTGGCACATCACTATTTCACAATGAAATCTATCAATTAAAAATATTTTTGATATGGCGGCACTTCCAGAAATAACGGAAGATGTCAGCAACTTTCTTATTTTAAATAGACACCCCCATTTTTTGTTACATATACGACGATATCACCCCTAATAAAGTGGCTATGAGTATGTGCAATTAGTTTTTTGATTTTCTAAAAAGTAACGACAGGAAAAAATAAAATTGATTTTCATAAAAATCCGTTTTTTCCAAAATACTCTGCAATCCCTGAAATTTTTAAAACTTTTTTGATGGCATCTTTTTTTTTAACTCTCTTGGTATCTATTACGGTTACCGAGATACCCCGAATTTGTAGCACCCTGTATATAGGGTTCAATTTATAAAATTTAAAATATAGGATTCGTTGTCAGATCAGGTGATTTTTTGTATAGTCAATTTCTTTTACATTTATTACTGGATACAGATTTAAATTACAATAAATTTCTCAGTGTACAGAGTGGTCGAAATTGGTCTGTTTTAACAGAGAAAACCTATTTCCTGACTAGATAGAGCAAAACCGACGTAGATGTCATGGGCTCAATTTCTGAGACATGTTTAATGTCATAAACCGCTTGTTGATATTTTCACTGCCAACTGTGATATGGGGACTTTTTGAATTTTTTACCATTTTGAAAATTGCCCATAATTTTTTTATTTCGCGCAATAATAAAATTCTGTAAAGACGTTCTTAAGGCACTTTTTTAAGCACAATCCAGTGGTGTAGTCAGTTTTGTTCTATACTTGCTCTTTTTGTCGGAAATAATAAAAAATATAATTATTTAAATGGAAATCATAGTTGGCTATGAACTTAAAAAAATGCTGATGTTTAACCCTTTCCAACGATATAAAGTTATGAGTATTTATTTCTAAGAATGAGCGAAATATTAGGGGTTTTTTATCTTTGTATCGAAGCGGGCCTTGATTTTATGTTGACCTAGTTGCCTAATTATATTTTATCGTAATTTAATATTCTATATCATTATTTATCTGCAAAATTAAAGACTTTTGAAAAGAAAAGTCAACATTCTCTATTAGTTTTACCACTTACAATTAAAACGGAGAATTTAGAGAGAATCGGATTGAAACAAGGGGCCCTATATCTTGGCCTGTTAGGTCCTGTGATTTAACTTCTTTCGACTTTTTTATGGGGGAAATTAAAATACCTTATATATAAGGGAAGAACCATTGGCACGAGAGAAGAATTGCAGAAGGCTACTAGGCAAGCTTTTGGACTTTTTACACCAGTTCGCCTAATAAATCGCTGTAACTCTGTGCGCAAAAGATGTTTATAATGTATTCAACAAGGAGGTGCTCAGTTTGAACATTTTAGATGATTTTTTTTAGAAAACAATATTCCTCACTCATAAAATACGTTTTTTAGTTTCGTTCTTTGTTTATTGTATCGATTTCAATTGCAATTACTAAAACTAATATAGAATGTTAATTTACCTTTTCAAAAGTCTTTAATTATGCAGATAAATAATAATATAGAATCTTAAATTGCGATACAAAATAATTAGACAACTAGGCCAACACAAAATCAAGGCGCACTTCGATACAAAGATGAAAACCCTAATATTTCTCTCATTCTTAGAAATAGGGATCCTTAACTTTATATCGTTCGAAATGGTTAAATGCCAGCATTTTTTTAAGTTCATACCCAACTATGATTTCCATTTAAAAAATTATATTTTTTATTATTTCTGACAAAAAGAGCAAGCATAGGAAAAAACTCACTACGCCACTGGATTGTGCTTAAAAAAGTGCCTTAAGAACGTCTTTACAGAATTTTATTATTCCGCGAAATAAAAAAGATATGGGCAATTTTCAAAATGGTAAAAATTCAAAAAGACCCAATGGGTAATGAAAATATCAACAGGCAGTTTATGCCATTCAACGTGTCTCAGAAATCGAGCCCATGACATCTATGTCGGTTTTGCTCCATCTAGTCAGGAAATAGGTTTTCTCTGTTAAAACAGACCAATTCCGACCACCCTGTACATAGAAGACTACAACATTATTTTCTATTGCTGAGCTTTCTGTACATTTCGCACCCGACCTTTACATTTATTTATAATTGCCTTTATATTTATTTAAAATTTAGGAATGTAATGAGATTGCAGTTGTGGCGGGAGGGTCTGCATTGAAAAACAAACTAGTTGATTTGTCTAAAAATTCTTAAAAAAAGTATTTAAATAAAAATTGACGTTTAAAAACAAACATAATATAGTTTGTCCAACGAAAAAAGAAAGATTTCGAGATACACTGAAAAATTTTGAAATGATAAAAAAACAGCTGTCATTGTTAAAATTCGACTGTTGAGCAGACCCACGAAACAGGCATATTTATGAATTAATAAATATGTAGGTACTGTTTTACTTATTACGGCAAAAATCGTTTATTTCTATAAATATTATACATATATATACATTACACAAGAAGTATACTTATAACTAAATACACTCTATAATTATTTACAATTACGTTATTAACATATCCACAAAAAATAAGAAAATACAATATTTAAAATTTAACATTTTATAGAATCTTAAGATATTTAGAGAATTATACATATATCAGAAAAAAATTGAAACAATGCACAACTTGAAAAGATACTTATGCTATACTATATTTACTTTTTTTTTTAAATTAAAAAAGTGGAACGTCACTGAGAAACCCGAAATCCAGTCAGCCGAACTAAAAGTCTTTCTTCGCGGTCTCACTAATTTGGTTTATTAACTTCCCCCTTAGTTTTTTATTCAATAGCTTCAAATGGTTAGAAGAAGGCCACAAATTAAAGCGCATATTTTTATAACTCACAATCGTAATGGCTGTTAAAACCCTTCTATAATCTATAACGAGCGGGAGAACGCCTTCTTCTTTCTCTCCGCTCTAGGTAAACTGGGCTTGAAGTGGACGAGTCCAATAGGTCCAGTTGCGATCTCTTATTGTTTGGAATCCCTGCTGAACTAAGAAGAGTTTCAGCCCCTCTCTTAGTTTTTATGGCTTCTTTTCCATCGAAGTCAATTGTGCGACGTCTGTGTTTAAGGCACTCCCGCTGATTGTTGCATATCAATTTAGTGGAAGCGTCAGTCTTTTTCCTCGGCCTAAGTAATCTGGGCTTGAAAGGTACGTGTTTTTTCTCACCCAAATCATTTTCAACTTTGCTCCTTTTATAATGAGGTTCGAAGTCTGAAAGGTCTGGGACCGGTCTCTTATTGGTAAAATTCCTTCTTAAATTAAGGAGAGTTTTAGCACCTTCAATCATTTCTCTTGCTTCATCATCATCCAAGTCGATTTTGCGGCACACTCCCCGACGCTTATCTTCGTCGCTTTTCAAGGCCTCATCTTCAGCATCACCAATGCCGGCTACATTAAATGCATAATCTTGACTAGGAGAATTGGTGCTAGCCTGATATTCCCGCTTGCCATTTACTCTGGTCGAATATTTTAAACTCAACATGGTCCGTGCCGCATCAAGAGTCTCCAAAAAATTGTGTTGCTGCTTGATTTTCACTCTATAGGCGTTGTAATCCATATCCGACGTAGCTGGTAACTTCTGGCTTGGAATCGGAGACATTTCGGGATTGGGTAATTTGTCGCTGCTCTGATGTTTGGCTGCCGTCGACCAAAGGTACGGTTAAGTGTCTATTGTCGAACAAGGATGAAAAGGCGAACGATTAAACGAGAAATTAAACCGACACATAAATAATTTCACTCCAGTACTGCTACTCACTCACAGGACGAAATTCAAATGATCATTTGACTTAAGAAGTGAAGCCAGGTATATAACGCCTTCCCACCCCAATTTCCATAGCGTTTAATGACATCTGCCCTAATCCTTTGTTAATAACATTGTACTCTTCATATAATATCTGTTTATGACTGCACATTGACTCTTAAAGTTAAACTACAATATAATTCATAAGCAGGTATTAAATGTTGACAAAAACTGTATGAATGGCTTACTAAATTACCTTTAAATAAAAAATGTTTATGTCATATCTAACTTAGTCCTACATTCTCTATTGCTGTTTCTAAAGTTAAGTTTTTTCTTGTAAACGAATTTAGTTCTTAAAGTTTATTGGTCATTATTGTTTTTTTTTTAAATTTTACCGTTTGTATGGGAAATTCTATCCACAGTATATCTCCGGATTTTCTTTACAAGAGGACAAACTTTTTTATTTTGACATTTTGGGAAAAATGCATTCTTCATAAAAAATTTTGGTTGTTCTAAAATGGTTAATCCCCTTTGTACTTTTCCGAATTTTCATATTTTTTCAAAGAAAATTAAGAAAAAATAAAAATATGGTTGATTTTTTTCTAATCCTAAAAATCAAAACGCGTTTGACTTTATCATTCTATGATAGATTGTTATTCATAGAATTTTAATTACCCTTATATTTTTTGTTATTTTAGAATGTTAAAGAAGCACAAAATTTATTTAGTTCAATGCTACGGAAATGGTGATGATAGTTATCGGAAAATGTGATACTTTAACAACATCAAAGAATATGACATTAATCAAAATTAATAATAACTATCTATCAAAGAATGAAACCGAATTGATATTACTATAGAAACGGCTTTTGA